TATATTTTTCATGCTATATATATTTTTCATGCTATATATATTTTTCATGCTATATTATATTTTTCATGCTATATATATTTTTCATGCTATATATATTTTTCATGCTATATATATTTTTCATGCTATATATATTTTTCATGCTATATATATTTTTCAGAGTTTCCATTATTTCATATGTTTTAAAATTAAAGCATTCCTCATGGGCATCAAGCCTAATTGTGACGTCATTATGCATAAGGTCTATTACGTTTCTAAATTTGGAATATTCAGACATGGAACTTGCAACTTAGCCAACTTCACAAATTGCTTACTAGCAATATTATGTAATAAATAATTTGTCAAACATGTTGGCCATGTTAGTAAAACACTGCAAATTACGAGTTCATGTTCAGTCCTTTAGTACCTAAAATTTGTAAAATTATTTTCTATCTAACTTGTCCTGTTGCAGGCCAACCTGTAACAACTTGCAAATTGGCTTTGCAATTTCCATGCCCAATATAAAAATTTAGAAAACATGATCGACTGCCACAGTGTTTATGACTACAAATTACAGCAAATCATATTTTGCCATCATATTTTAATGTGGATACAATGGTTTCTTACATAAATTGGCATTGTCATTATATACAGTAATTACAAGCCATTTTTACTCAGTCATCAATTTACCATTTGTCTTCTTCTCAATTATAAGAGGATATAGTAAACATGCGGACAGGAATATTAAAATGACATACATCCACAATGCTATAGACATTTAATAGCTATACCTTCTGCATGTTTGACAATTAATTTAATTCATGATTGTTAGATTTCAAATTGTTTCAGCATGAATGTGAAATAGTTTTTGCAATAATTCATGAATTGTGAAAAAACTAGACCATATCTTGCAAATACAGCTGCTGCTCACTGCAAAACAAGCAAATGAATAGAAACAGCAGCAGTTTTAGTTTGCATGCTAATTCAACTATTGCCTTTGACCACTTTGACAATCATTGCAACCTTTAGGTGATATGAATACTGAAGAGTCTTTGATTTAAAAGATATGGATTTGGCTCAGATAACAAATAAAAAATGTGAAGTTTGATTTAGTTTAATTTTTATATTTTCACAATAAGTATTAATTTCTTATTTATGGTCGTCTTCATTCCTGTGACTACGAACAAGGTCAAAATTGGACCCAGCATATATATATATATATATGTGCAGTCACAGCAGTCACCAGGATACCTGCAGTGCATATTATAGATTGCAACTGTTACACTTTTCTGTTTTCTTCAGAACAAAACATTCACAAATTTTAAAAGTAACAAAATACAATTTATTTTTGTGTTTTTCATGCAAATTCAAATTATTTCAAAAAAGGGTGCAATAATAGAGAAAACACGATGCAAACGTCAGCAGATATAAAGCGCGGGAACCAGCGGGAATTATTCTGTTATCACACATGCGCAAGACAAGTTAATTTCAAATCATAACAAAAATAAAACCGAAACTTTCAAATTTTTCTCATCACTTACCAACAGACTTCGCAAACTTGGCCTTGGTTCTTCGTCCAGCACATCTAAGTTGAAATAAAACTTCAGAAAAAATTGTTTCTTTCATTTATGGCATGCACTTCCGAAGGTATCATTTGGTTTCAGTTTGTAAACATTAAATATGAATTAGGTTTGCAAGAATTTTAAAGGAGTTTTAATGGTTTAATATCTTATAGTTCCACTCATGTATACTAAATTGGTAACTAAAGCCGAACGAAAAGAAAAATATATTTCGTGTAAAAATACAGACAAAATATCGAACATACGACAATTGGTTTTATAATACCTGGGAAAGTTGCCAGAGAGCGAAAGGAATAGTCAAGCGGTGGTGCCGAGTTGTTCACTGTATCAATGGCATGCGATGTTGAACTTATTCTGCTCTTAGACATTCTGATCGCTTGTGATTTGCGAAGCTTGCATAGTTGAGTGAAATTCTGCCCGTCTTGTCGCGAAACTTTAATAAGAAGACAGCAACACAACACGATACTTTCGAATTCGAATGAAAAGTGAATACTCAGTTGTCATGACAACGTCCAAAGTCTGTCGGGTCATCGGGTGGTTTCTAAGCAAGATGGTGGCTCAAACGCAAGCAGTGAATATAAAAGGTATGCGATGATTTTCCACCTTTTTCATTATTTTATAAACGTCTTCGATTACATCCGTTTTGTATTTGAAAAGGAATAGCAGTTTCTTCTATTATTTTACGCAGTTTTGTTAAATACTGAATAATTTAGCTACATTATAAATACAAATTTGTCATCCATATATATCAGATGACAGATCACAGATCTATGCATAAGCTTTGAGCCTTGAAATCTAGCATGTATTGTATAAATTGCAATAAAGATCCTAATATGGTTGTTACGTTTATGAAAATTGTAAAACATACTGAATAATTTAGCAACATTATAAATACAAATTTGTCATCCATATATATCAGTCTATTATCAGATGACAGATCACAGATCTATGGATAGGCCTTGAGCCTTGAAGTCTAGCATGTATTGTATAAATTGCAATAAAGATCCTAATATGGTTGTTACGTTTATGAAAATTGTAAAACTGAAACTGAAAACTTTATTATAAATTGCAAAATTACAATTGTTAGTTAGGGGCGACATCCATACTCACATTGGCACGCAAAACGTCATTTTGACGTTTTCGTTTTGACCCACCCACCCAGTGCTGAAAACGTCAAGTGTATATTGTTATTAAAACTATAGAAGGGAGACCTCAAAGGTGTTACCAGTGAGTAATAATGCTTTAAATCAATGCCCAAGTAGTTTTAAATAATGATATAAATTCATACCTGTATTAAAGATTTTTCGTTTTTTTGCGAAAACTGATAACGTGTTTTAAAGCCTTTGGTACAGTGAAATACACAAATTCCTCAAGTTAACTTCTACATATACATCCAAAATCATCCCTGCACATGTGTTCAATATTTTCTGATTTAAAAAAATTCAAACTGCCACGCAAAACGTCAAACTGACACTTGAAAACCCACCCACCCACTCAAAACGTCAAAATGACGTTTTGCGTGGCAATTTGAGTATGGATGTCGCCCCTTACACACTATTGACTAGAAATTATTTGAATACTGAATAGTGATTATTGTACAACAATGTATTCATGAAAATTTAAAAATAAAATAAAATAAAATAAAATAGGAAGTAATTGCAATTAAAGAAAATAATTATCGGATTATACGAAACTGCAGGTAGCAAAAGATTAGACTGGGCGGTTAGTGAAGTTTATTGGATAACTTAAATATAATATAATTGTTTTTGTTTGTGGAAACACCACGTAAATTTATTACTGCAGTAATAAATTTACGTGGTGTTTCCACAAACAAAAACAATTATATTTTATCGCCATGCAAACATTCAAAGAACTTATTAAATATAATAATTATATCTTGAAAATTGTCATTGAAGAAATGTTAGTATCAAATAAAAATCCCGATGAAATGAAAAGCCACACCAAAACCATTTGTTAATGATAAAAGATTCTCAGTTGAAAAACTCAATTTTTATTTTTGCTGTTTGTTTAATGAATCCTCTTCGCAAAAAATATTGTGTAAGCTACTTTTATTTCTTTTTTAAATTTTTTTTTGATAATTTACGTATTTTGAGTGGAATACCATTCCAAACTTTCACTGTAGTTACCGAATGTGGGAATGTCTATCGACCCTCTACTGAATACTGTATATAATAGCTTATATTTGTGTTTCTCTTTTAGGACGAGCTGTTGTTGATGTATCCTTTTACAATTCTGACATATTAGAAGAAACAAAAAATTGTACAGTTTTCGCCAGAGTACATGATATACTGTATGAAGAACTTTGTAACATCCTCTCATGTTTACAAAATTATCATATACATGTCTCAGAATTCATGTCAGCCTGTATGATACGTGACTGGCAATGTCAGGTCATTTTGTACTCTCGTCATTTTCTACTCAACTGCCTGGTCATTTTGTACCCTAACTTCTGTCATTTTTGTACCAAAACTCTGGTTGTTCCGTACTTGACTCTAGTTGACTGATTGTACTAAAAACACAAAAATGATAAGATATAACATCACTGTGGGTAAAAGGGGTTTTATTGGTTTTACTTACAATAATTTTGATTGAATAAATATGTAGTAACATGCAAATCAAAACTATTTTACCGAAAATTGTTGCACTGGTAATAGGTGCTGGATGCCTGGATACACTGATATATATAAATGGGTAGTTTTTTTTTCATGAACTGAAGAGTGAATCAATGCATTTTTTCAGTAAGTGATGACTACAAAGCAATTTGCTATATAGGTTTTTCCATGTAATAACAAATAATGCATCAACTAAGGGTACGGATCAACCAAGCCTGGGTACAAAATGACCAAGCCTGAGTACGAAGCGGTAAGAGAAAATAACACTATTTGGATTAACTTTATATTTAATTCCATGGTTAAATTTTCTGGTTATTAAAATATCTCACTCCCTACATTAGTCTGGTTAATGTAACCAGGAATCTGGATATATTTGACCTGGGTGTTCTCAAGGCCGGATTTTGGTCGAAATTCTGGGGGAGGTGGGAAATATCTTAGGGGAGGTGCAGCAGTCTGACCCACAGCCTCCCTGGGATGTTAGCATTTAGAACATAGCCCCCTGAAGTCAACTATGTGATGCAGACATTTACTGTACAGTGTAATATCTATCAATGTATTTGTGAATAGACAATTCCCATTATAGACTAATTTTTATCTTGGAAAAAAAAGTATATTCCCAAAAAGAGCGTACTAAAATGAGTAAAATTGCAAAGTTTGGTTGCGAAATGTTGTAAAATGCGGAGGATATAGCCTTGCAAAGTTCGCAAATTTTGTATACTTTTGTATTGCATGCGGAAATTGCTACCACATTTGGGCCGAAAATGGTAGCAATTTCTGGACGTAATACAAAAGTATACAAAATTTGCAAACTTGCGAGACTATATTTTCCGCATTTTACAACATTTCGCAACAAACTTTGCAATTTTACTCATTTTAGTATGCTTTTTCCAGCTGTGGTGATTTATTTGCATCTCCTTGCCTAGTTTTAAAATTAGTCTATAATGGGAATTGTCTATTATATGACTTTACAACTCATCCAATTTTGACCCTCGTTACAATACTACAAAGTTTCTTTAGAAACATTGCAATGAAAGGGTGATTGGCACAAGGGTGATTATCACCTTTTCAATTTTATAGAAAAACTTTTCACAAGTGTAATCTAGTCAAATTTTGACTTTTGATCCATCATTTGACTTTTTTCAATGGAAGGTAGGCTTGGGCGGTTTTGCTTAAAATCAAAACCGAAAAACCGTCTGATTCTAAACCGGTAAAACCGGAAAACCGTTTTTTTCCCTTTAATTTTTACTTCAACTGAATGAGGAGGAATCAGGGCCTTTTTTAACATACAAGCTGGGGGGCATTTGCCCCCCCCCCCAGTCCCCCCTTGTGCCCCCCACGAAATCACATTTTGCCCCCCCAGGAAAAGTCCCTTTTTCCTAAAATTATATAAACAATCCAGCGAAGATTAACAAATAGATAAACGGAAAGTAAGTTTTAGGCTTTATCCTTTGTTCTTGTTTAACAAAATCGATTTAAATTGTTACTTTTTTTACCACTAAGCCATGATAAATTATTGTTAATATTTTTTTTTTTTTGGATGCTCAGAATGCAGAAAATAGCATTTCACGGTTTCAAATTTCAAAAATTTTCTTGGGATTATCCCTCTAATAAGTAATGATAAATTACAGTTAATATTCTTTTTTACTTTTTGTGCATTTTTCCATCTTTTATTTCAAATACAACTATAGTTAGCATAAATTTTAGAGCAAATTTGGATGCTCAGAATGCAGGAAATGGCATTTCCGTGCTTCAAATTTCAAAAATTTTCTGGGGGAGTACACCCCACACACCTGACCATTGCTATCCTCCTCTAATAAGTAATGATAAATGATGGTTAATTTTTTTTTACTTTTTGTGTGTTTCTTCCTTTATTTATTTCAAATACAAGTATAGTTAGGATAAATTTTGGAGCAAATTTGGATGCTCAGAATGCAGGAAATGACATTTACGGGAGTCAAATTTCAAAAATTTTCTGGGGGAGTACACCCCCAGACCCCCCATTCATGCGTGGTATATTTGCCACACACGTGGTTTTCAGCCATTGCCATCCCCTTCTAATATATTATCTCACAGAAAGGTCTCTTTTCAAAAAATGGGAAAATCCTTAAAAAAGGCCCTGGGAGGAATTGTGGTATTTTTTTGACAAAAGCAAACGAACAGTACATGACAAAACGCAAAATTGTGCAAAGGTAACCTATAAAACGACTTCAGTTTTAAAATAAGTCAAGAACGCATTTGAAAACTTATACCTCTTTAGTTCTTACCGACTTTACGGAAAAAGAATAGAATTAAGATCGAGTTTCAGGCGATGACAGTAAAGAATTACGTAATGACGGTTTTCCGGTTTTTGTAAAAGCTAATTAAAAACGAAAAAAACGGTTTGAAAATAAAACCGAAAAACCGGTAAACCGCCCAAGCCTAATGAAAGGTGCATTAATTTCCTGGGGAGGTGGAAAAATCTCAGGGGAGGTGTGCACCTCCCCTCCAAATCTTGGCATGATGGATGTTCTTGATAAAATAACCTATGCTGGGCTCTTATTTTCATTATAAGAATATGTTAGGTGGATATTAAATAACCATGGGCCCTTATGGTTTTTTATTCGTCTAACATAGTTTGGCTGATGAAGTTCTGGTCAAATAGGAGTTTACACGAAGCTATAGTTTTCATTTTACTGCTTTATGTTTTGTTCCAAAGACTGGTTTGAAAGTTATGTTTTCTCCAGAGGTTATGATGAAAATTTGACGTAACTTTCAGCGAAAACAATTCGATTATTAGCGAGAAAATTGCTGTCCAGTTGACACAAGAGTGAAGCACATTTATGGCAAAAGATGGCTTCGAAAACTACTCTTAAATCGTACGTTTTCAAGTACATGAAGTGATCGGTAAGAGGACATTAGACAATTTGCCCTTTAAATAAAGCCCTTTATTGTAACAACTGGAACAGTGGAACACTACATTCAGATAAACTGCCTATCTTTTTCTTGAAGCCAAATTTTACCTCCAGACACGCGTGTCTGAAGGTAAGATCACGCGTGTTAATTCATAGAGACCTTACGATTTTAGGACGGCAACGCGACGGCGACGGCCAAAACAAACTCCTTCAAATAAATGGTAGTAAAGATAGTTCGTCGTATATTATCAATCGTATGAATTTAATACAGTTTTAGAAGTTGAAGACATGGGTTTTATGGTTGGGAAGAGTTCTGCTAAACCCAGTTTGAAGTTGCACTTGTTGCGGCTTGGAATGCAGCCGTTGTATCAAGACGTGAAAATCTGTGATTTGGCGTTGTAAACATGACATCTAAATTTGTTTGCGATGCTGAGCGCATATCCACACCGGGCGAGCTTGAAAAATATGCCCGGCCACGGTGGGATTCGAACCTACGACCTTTGGAATACTAGCCCAATGCTCTTCCAACTGAGCTACGCGGTCAGGACGGTTCGAGTAAGTGATATTTCGGAACAGTATCTAGTTCCTTCAATACCAATGTGTTCTAGTAATATGGATTTTTTTTCTGTGTTGGTGTTGTGTACTCAGGTGAATAATATGTTTGCAATGTTACTCTGAGTGCATATCCACACCGGGCGAGCTTGAAAATATGCCCGGCCACATTGGGATTCGAACCTACGACCTTTGGAATACTAGCCCAATGCTCTTCCAACTGAGCTACGCGGTCAGGACGGTTCGAGTAAGTGATATTTCGGAACAGTATCTAGTTCCTTCAATACCAATGTGTTCTAGTAATATGAATTTTTCTGTGCTGGTGTTGTGTACTCAGGTGAATAATATGTTTGCGATGTTACTCTGAGTGCATATCCACACCGGGCGAGCTTGAAAAATATGCCCGGCCATGGTGGGATTCGAACCTACGACCTTTGGAATACTAGCCCAATGCTCTTCCAACCGAGCTACGCGGTCAGGACGGTTTGAGTAAGTGATATTTCGGAACAGTATCTGGTTCCTTCAATACCAATATGTTCTAGTAATATGAATTTTTTTTTCCTGTGTTGGTGTTGTGTACTCAGGTGAATAATATGTTTGCGCTGTTACTCTGAGTGCATATCCACACCGGGCGAACTTGAAAAATATGCCCGGCCATGCTGGGATTCGAACCTACGACCTTTGGAATACTAGCCCAATGCTCTTCCGACTGAGCTACGCGGTCAGGACGGTTCGAGTAAGTGATATTTCGGAACAGTATCTAGTTCCTTCAATACCAATAAGTTCTACTAATATGAATTTTTTTTTCCTGTGTTGGTGTTGTCTACTCAGGTGAATAATATGTTTGCGATGTTACTCTGGGTGCATATCCACACCGGGCGAGCTTGAAAAATATGCCCGGCCACGGTGGGATTCGAACCTACGACCTTTGGAATACTAGCCCAATGCTCTTCCAGCTGAGCTACGCGGTCAGGACGGTTCGAGTAAGTGATATTTCGGAACAGTATCTAGTTCCTTCAATACCAATGTGTTCTAGTAATATGAATATTTTTCTGTGTTGGTGTTGTGTACTCAGGTGAATAATATGTTTTGCGATGTTACTCTGAGTGCATATCCACACCGGGCGAGCTTGAAAAATATGCCCGGCCACGGTGGGATTCGAACCTACGACCTTTGGAATACTAGCCCAATGCTCTTCCAACTGAGCTACGCGGTCAGGACGGTTCGAGTAAGTGATATTTCAGAACAGAATCTAGTTCCTTCGATACCAATGTATTCTAGTAATATGAATTTTTTTTCTGTGTTGGTGTAGTGTACTCAGGTGAATATGATATTTGTGGTGTTACTCTGAGTGTATATCCACACCGGGCGAGCTTGAAAAATATGCCCGGCCACGGTGGGATTTGAACCTACGACCTTTAAAATACTAGCCCAATGCTCTTCCAACTGAGCTACGCGGTCAGGACGGTTCGAGTAAGTGATTTTTCGGAACAGAACCTAGTTCCTTCGATACCAATGTATTCTAGTAATATGAATTTTTTTCTGTGTTGGTGTAGTGTACTCAGGTGAATATGATATTTCTGGTGTTACTCTGAGTGTATATCCACACCGGGCGAGCTTGAAAAATATGCCCAGCCACGGTGGGATTCGAACCTACGACCTTTGGAATACTAGCCCAATGCTCTTCCAACTGAGCTACGCGGTCAGGACGGTTCGAGTAAGTGATATTTCGGAACAGTATCTGGTTCCTTCAATACCAATATGTTCTAGTAATATGAATTTTTTTTTTCTGTGCTGGTGTTGTGTACTCAAGTGAATAATATGTTTGCGATGTTACTCTGAGTGCATATCCACACCGGGCGAGCTTGAAAAATATGCCCGGCCACGGTAGGATTCGAACCTACGATCTTTGGAATACTAGCCCAATGCTCTTCCAACTGAGCTATGCGGTCAGGACGGTTCGAGTAAGTGATACTTCGGAACAGTATCTAGTTCGTTCAATACCAATATGTTCTAGTAATATGAATTTTTTTTTTCTCTGTGTTGGTGTTGTGTACTCAGATGAATAATATGTTTGCATGTTACTCTGAGTGCATATCCACACCGGGCGAGCTTGAAAAATATGCCCGGCCACGGTGGGATTCGAACCTGCGACCTTTGGAATACTAGCCCAATGCTCTTCCAACTGAGCTACGCGGTCAGCATGGTTCGAGTAAGTGATATTTCGGAACAGTATCTAGTTCCTTCAATACCAATGTGTTCTAGTAATATGAATTTTTTTTCTGTGCTGGTGTTGTGTACTCAGGTGAATAATATGTTTTGCGATGTTACTCTGAGTGCATATCCACACCGGGCGAGCTTGAAAAATATGCCCGGCCACGGTGGGATTCGAACCTACGACCTTTGGAATACTAGCCCAATGCTCTTCCAACTGAGCTACGCGGTCAGGACGGTTCGAGTAAGTGATATTTCGGAACAGTATCTAGTTGCTTCAATACGAATATGTTCTAGTAATATGAATTTTTTTTTTCTGTGTTGGTGTTGTGTACTCAGGTGAATAATATGTTTGCGATGTTACTCTGAGTGCATATCCACACCGGGCGAACTTGAAAAATATGCCCGGCCATGCTGGGATTCGAACCTACGACCTTTGGAATACTAGCCCAATGCTCTTCCAACTGAGCTACCCGGTCAGGACGGTTCGAGTAAGTGATATTTCGGCACAGTATCTAGTTCCTTCAATACCAATATGTTCTACTAATATGAATTTTTTTTTCTCTGTGTTGGTGTTGTGTACTCAGGTGAATAATATGTTTGCCATGTTAATCTGAGTGCATATCCACACCGGGCGAGCTTGAAAAATATGCCCGGCCACGGTGGGATTCGAACCTACGACCTTTGGAATACTAGGCCAATGGTCTTCCAACTGAGCTACGTGGTCAGCACGGTTCGAGTAAGTGATATTTCGGAACAGTATCTAGTTCCTTCAATACCAATATGTTCTAGTAATATGAATTTTTTTTTTCTGTGCTGGTGTTGTGTACTCAGGTGAATAATATGTTTGCGATGTTACTCTGAGTGCATATCCACACCGGGCGAGCTTGAAAAATATGCCCGGCCACGGTGGGATTTGAACCTACGACCTTTGGAATACTAGCCCAATGCTCTTCCAACTGAGCTACGCAGTCAGGACGGTTCGAGTAAGTGATATTTCGGAACAGTATCTGGTTCCTTCAATACCAATATCTTCTAGTAATATGAATTTTTTTTTTTCTCTGTGTTGGTGTTGTGTACTCAGGTGAATAATATGTTTGCCATGTTACTCTGAGTGCATATCCACACCGGGCGAGCTTGAAAAATATGCCCGGCCACGGTGGGATTCGAACCTACGAGCTTTGGAATACTAGCCCAATGCTCTTCCAACTGAGCTACGCGGTCAGGACGGTTCGAGTAAGTGATATTTCGGAACAGTATCTAGTTCCTTCAATACCAATATGTTCTAGTAATATGAATTTTTTTTTTCTCTGTGTTGGTGTTCTGTACTCAGGTGAATAATATGTTTGCGATGTTACTCTGAGTGCATATCTACACCGGGCGAGCTTGAAAAACATGCCCGGCCACGGCCCGACTCGAACCTACGACCTTTGGAATACTAGCCCAATGCTCTTCCAACTGAGCTACGCGGTGAGGACAGTTCGAGTAAGTGATATTTCGGAACAGTATCTAGTTCTTTCAATACCAATATGTTCTAGTAATATGAATTTTTTTTTCTCTGTGTTGGTGTTGTGTACTCAGGTGAATAATATGTTTGCGATGTTACTCAGAGTGCATATCCACACCGGGCGAGCTTGAAAAATATGCCCGGCCACGGTAGGATTCGAACCTACGACCTTTGGAATACTGGCCCAATGCTCTTCCAACTGAGCTACGCGGTCAGGACGGTTCGAGTAAGTGATATTTCGGAACATTATCTAGTTCCTTCAATACCAATGTGTTCTAGTAATATGAATTTTTCTGTGTTGGTGTTGTGTACTCAGGTGAATAATATGTTTGCGATGTTACTCTGAGTGCATATCCACACCGGACGAGCTTGAAAAATATGCCCAGCCACGGTGGGATTCGAACCTACGACCTTTGGAATACTAGCCCAATGCTCTTCCAACTGAGCTACGCGGTCAGGACGGTTCGAGTAAGTGATATTTCGGAACAGTATCTAGTTCCTTCAATACCAATGTGTTCTAGTAATATGAATTTTTTTTTTCTGTGTTGGTGTTGTGTACTCAGGTGAATAATATGTTTGCGATGTTGCTCTGAGTGCATATCCACACCGGGCGAGCTTGAAAAATATGCCCGGCCACGGTGGGATTCGAACCTACGACCTTTGGAATACTAGCCCAATGCTCTTCCAACTGAGCTACGCGGTCAGGACGGTTCGAGTAAGTGATATTTCGGCACAGTATCTAGTTCCTTCAATACCAATATGTTCTAGTAATATGAATTTTTTTCTTCTCTGTGTTGGTGTTCTGTACTCAGGTGAATAATATGTTTGCCATGTTACTCTGAGTGCATATCCACACCGGGCGAGCTTGAAAAATATGCCCGGCCATGGTGGGATTCGAACCTACGACCTTTGCAATACTAGCCCAATGCTCTTCCAACTGAGCTACACGGTGAGGACGGTTCGAGTAAGTGATATTTCGGAACAGTATCTAGTTCCTTCAATACCAATATGTTCTAGTAATATGAATTTTTTTTTCTCTGTGTTGGTGTTGTGTACTCAGGTGAATAATATGTTTGCGACGTTACTCTGAGCACATATCCACACCGGGCGAGCTTGAAAAATATGCCCGGCCACGGTGGGATTCGAACCTACGACCTTTGGAATACTAGCGCAATGCTCTTCCAACTGAGCTATGCGGTCAGGACGGTTCGAGTAAGTGATATTTCGGAACAGTATCTGGTTCCTTCAATACCAATATCTTCTAGTAATATGAATTTTTTTTTTCTCTGTGTTGGTGTTGTGTACTCAGGTGAATAATATGTTTGCCATTTTACTCTGAGTGCATATCCACACCGGGCGAGCTTGAAAATATGCCCGGCCACGGTGGGATTCGAACCTACGACCTTTGGAATACTAGCCCAATGCTCTTCCAACTGAGCTATGCGGTCAGGACGGTTCGAGTAAGTTATATTTCGGCACAGTATCTAGTTCCTTCAATACCAATATGTTGTAGTAATATGAATTTTTTCTTCTCTGTGTTGGTGTTGTGTACTCAGGTGAATAATATGTTTGCGATGTTACTCTGAGTGCATATCCACACCGGGCGAGCTTGAAAAACATGCCCAGCCACGGCCCGACTCGAACCTACGACCTTTGGAATACTAGCCCAATGCTCTTCCAACTGAGCTATGCGGTCAGGACGGTTCGAGTAAGTGATATTTCGGAACAGTATCTAGTTCCTTCAATACCAATATGTTCTAGTAATATGAATTTTTTTTCTCTGTGTTGGTGTTGTGTACTCAGGTGAATAATATGTTTGCGATGTTACTCTGAGTGCATATCCACACCGGGCGAGCTTGAAAAATATGCCCGGCCACGGTGGGATTCGAACCTACGACCTTTGGAATACTAGCCCAATGCTCTTCCAACTGAGCTACGCGGTCAGGACGGTTCGAGTAAGTGATATGTCGGAACAGTATCTAGTTCCTTCAATACCAATATGTTCTACTAATATGAATTTTTTTTCCTGTGTTGGTGTTGTGTACTCAGGTGAATAATATGTTTGCGATGTTACTCTGAGTGCATATCCACACCGGGCGAGCTTGAAAAATATGCCCGGCCACGGTGGGATTCGAACCTACAACCTTTGGAATACTAGCCCAATGCTCTTCCAACTGAGCTACGCGGTGAGGACGGTTCGAGTAAGTGATATTTCGGAACAGTATCTAGTTCCTTCAATACCAATATGTTCTAGTAATATGAATTTTTTTTTCTCTGTGTTGTTGTTGTGTACTCAGGTGAATAATATGTTTGCGATGTTACTCTGAGTGCATATCCACACCGGGCGAGCTTGAAAAATATGCCCGGCCACGGTGGGATTCGAACCTACGACCTTTGGAATACTAGCCCAATGCTCTTCCAACTGAGCTACGCGGTCAGGACGGTTCGAGTAAGTGATATTTCGGAACAGTATCTAGTTCCTTCAATACCAATGTGTTCTAGTAATATGAATTTTTTTCTGTGTTGGTGTTGTGTACTCAGGTGAATAATATGTTTGTGTGTTACTCTGAGTGCATATCCACACCGGGCGAGCTTGAAAAATATGCCCGGCCACGGTGGGATTCGAACCTACGACCTTTGGAATACTAGCCCAATGTTCTTCCAACTGAGCTACGCGGTCAGGACGGTTTGAGTAAGTGATATTTCGGAACAGTATCTAGTTCCTTCAATACCAATATGTTCTAGTAATATGAATTTTTTTTTCCTGTGTTGCTGTTGTGTACTTAGGTGAATAATATGTTTGCGATGTTACTCTGAGTGCATATCCACACCGGGCGAGCTTGAAAAATATGCCCGGCCATGGTCGGATTCGAACCTACGACCTTTGGAATACTGGCCCAATGCTCTTCCAACTGAGCTACGCGGTCAGGACGGTTTGAGTAAGTGATATTTCGGAACAGTATCTGGTTCCTTCAATACCAATATGTTCTAGTAATATGAATTTTTTTTCTTCTCTGTGTTGGTGTTGTGTACTCAGGTGAATAATATGTTTGCCATGTTACTCTGAGTGCATATCCACACCGGGCGAGCTTGAAAATATGCCCGGCCACGGTGGGATTCGAACCTACGACCTTTGGAATACTAGCCCAATGCTCTTCCAACTGAGCTACGCGGTGAGGACAGTTCGAGTAAGTGATATTTCGGAACAGTATCTAGTTCTTTCAATACCAATATGTTTTAGTAATATGAATTTTTTTTCTCTGTGTTGGTGTTGTGTACTCAGGTGAATAATATGTTTGCGATGTTACTCAGAGTGCATATCCACACCGGGCGAGCTTGAAAAATATGCCCGGCGACGGTGGGATTCGAACCTACAACCTTTGGAATACTAGCCCAATGCTCTTCCAACTGAGCTACGCGGTCAGGACGGTTCGAGTAAGTGATATTTCGGAACAGTATCTAGTTCCTTCAATACCAATATGTTCTACTAACATGAATTTTTTTTTCCTGTGTTGGTGTTGTGTACTCAGGTGAATAATATCTTTGCGATGTTACTCTGAGTGCATATCCACACCGGGCGAGCTTGAAAAATATGCCCGGCCACGGTGGGATTCGAACCTACGACCTTTGGAATACTAGCGCAATGCTCTTCCAACTGAGCTACGCGGTCAGCATGGTTCGAGTAAGTGATATTTCGGAACAGTATCTAGTTCCTTCAATACCAATATGTTCTAGTAATATGAATTTTTTTTTTCTGTGTTGGTGTTGTGTACTCAGGTGAATAATATGTTTGCCATGTTACTCTGAGTGCATATCCACACCGGGCGAGCTTGAAAATATGCCCGGCCACGGTGGGATTCGAACCTACGACCTTTGGAATACTAGCCCAATGCTCTTCCAACTGAGCTACGCCGTCAGGACGGTTCGAGTAAGTGATATTTCGGAACAGAATCTAGTTCCTTCGATACCAATGTTTTCTAGTAATATGAATTTTTTCTATGTTGGTGT